TGCCTCAGCCTCCCAAGTAGCTGGGACTACAGGCACCCGCCACAACGCCCGGCTATTTTTTGGTTGCAGCTGTCATTGTTGTTTGGCAGGCCTGGGCTAGATTCGAACCTGCCACCTTGGGTGTACGTGGCTGGCGCCTTAGCCACTTGAGCCACAGGCACTGAGCCAACTTAGCTACTCTTATACTTTAGGTACAGAGGTTCTCAGCCTTCACACTACTGACATAGTAGCAGGAACTCTGCTATGAACTCTAGGATCATCCTTGGCTGCTACCCACTAAATGCCATTAGCACATCCTTAGTTGCTATAACCACAAATGTCTCCAAATGTTGCCAATGTCTCCTGGGAGGCAAATTTACTCCCAGTTGGAATCATTAACTTGGCTAAAGGATGAAAGGTTTTATTCACAGAAAAGCTGTCTTTTTTTTTTTTTTGGAGACAGTCTCACTTTGTCACCCTTGGTAGAGTGCTATGGCATCATAGCTCACAGCAACCTCAAACTCCTGGGCTCAAGAGATTCTCTTGCTTCATCCTCCCAAGTAGCTGGGACTACAGGTGCCCTCCTTATTTTTTTTTTAAGAGATGAGGTCTTGCTCTAGCTCAGGCTGGTCTCGAACCTGTGAGCTCAAGCAATCCACCCACCTTGGCCCCCCAAGTGCTGGGATTACAGGCATGAGCCACAGCACCCGGCCCAAGAAAAGCTGTCTTACATCTCCAGGAGAAACCTACCTAGAGATGTAAGGGAAGAATGGTTTTTACCTGACATGACAGCTGTATTAGTGATGTATATAAATTTTTTTTTTTAGACGAGTTTCACTTTGTCGTTTTTGGTAGAGTGTCTTGGTATCATAGCTTATAGCAACTTCAGACTCTTGGGCTCAAGCAATTCTCTTGTTTCAGCCTCCCAAGTAGCTGGGACTACAGTTCAACACAATGTCTGGCTATTTTTTAGAGATGGTCTCTCTCTGGCTCAGGCTGGTCTCAAACCTGTGAGTTCAGGCAATCCACACTCCTTGGCCTCCCAGAGTGCTAGGATTATAGGTGTGAGTCACCATACCCGGCCCAGATGTATGTAATATTCTATAGGATGTTTACAACATTCTTACCCATTCCCATAGCAAGAGACATTCACAGGCACTTTGTAGGTTTCATTAATATACATAAGGCTAAAATTATTAGTAATTGTTTTTTTGTGTGTTATTCTTATTAATTCTGTGGGTAAGTTTCCAATGGTGGCACTACTGGGCAAAGGATATCAGGTATGTATAGCCAAAAGCTTTTCCAGTGAGGCCACCAGCAACATCTACATGTATCTGGCCCCTGCAATCATAACTGTATGCTTCTAGAGGGGTGGAGCTATGCCAGTTATGCTCTAACACCTAGCACACAGTCATGACAGAAGCAGGATTTAAAGCCCCATCTGTCAGTAGCCATTTGATTACTTGTGGCTTGACCTGAATATCCCCCACAATCTTCCACCCCGCATGGGGATGTCCTGATTCTCAGCAAACATATGAAGAGTGTCCAGGTAGTGGGGTAGAGATGGGAGTCCAAAGCCCCTCTACCTTCCTGCAGGACTCACGCTTTAGGGATTGCCACACTGAGCCGCACGGGTTTAGACCCCAGTCCTACTGCTCCCTGGCACTCCGTCAGTGCTCGCTTCTGTTCCAATTCATCTGTGAATTTCACAAAACCATAACCCCTGCAGGAAAAAAAAAAAAACAAAACCCAACCCGTTATTTAGATTATTAATGTGATGAATGTGTCTTAAGAACAGAGGAGGCATGGAGAAGTGGGAAGGGCAAGAAGGTGGGCAGGAATACAGAGAGGAGGAGGGGTGGAGAAAAGCAAGAGAGTCAACAGTCCCATTAATGAGGGGAGCAGAGCAGTGTCAGGATTCAAGCACATGACAATCCTGAGATCCACAGGAATTCCCATGTTCAGTTCCCCATTCTCCTTGACACCATCACCCCTGGGGATCCTGCCCAAGTAGGAGATTCTTTCCTAATCTACTGAAAACAGTAGCAATGGTAGTGACAGCTGAAGAAACTAATTCAGCAAATATTTACAGAGTCTGCTCTGATGCTCTCCTGAGTTCATATTCTAGTTGGGGGGAAAATGAATGACAGCTAAAGTTAACAAGCACTTATTTCCTAGGCACTGTGCTGAGGCACTTATTTCCCAAGGTTATCTCATTAAATTGTTTCAACAATTCCATGAAGGTAGTATCCACACTTTACTGAAGAGGTAACCAACTTCAGACAGGTTTAATAACCTGTCAAATGTCATGACAGAAGCAGGATTTAAAGCCCCATCTGTCAGACTAACAAAGCCTGGGCTTCTAACTATGATGGTAATCAAGAATGAGCCGTTAAGGTTTTTCCATTTTTTAAGTGAAAACTTCTACCTATAATGAAAGGCTCAGTAACAGTAATAAAACAGCAAACACCTTTAAACAATTTCCTATGTGATTTGCTTGTATTATATCCTTTAATTCTTACATCAACCTTATGAGCAGATACTATTAATCAGCCCCCTTTTACAGATAAGCTCACAGGGTGAGAGACCCTCAGTAAGTTGTACACTGCATTACCCCTACCAACACTGGAGCTGGGATTCATACTCCAGAGCCTGTGCTCTTAACTGCCATGTTATCCACCTTTGTAAGACATCTCCACCTGGGAGAAAAGAGTGTGGCCATCATTAACAGGTAAGGCCTTACTTAGACACACCAGTCTGGTCCAAAACCACCTTGCCTCCTCGACAGGAGGGGTAGACTTTCACGAAGAATTCATACAGCATACCATCATCCACATCTGGGGTCAGGTCCCCAACAAAGAGGGAGTACTCAGGGCTGAGAGGAGAGAACAAGAGATTCAGAGACAAAGACCAAAACCTCTGCTCTGAAAAGCTTTTCTTCGTATCCCAGGTAAAAATCTCCTATGAATTTCTTAGGGAACAATACTCCCGATGGGTCTAGTCTCATTTTGTCGTCCTTAGTAGAGTACTATGGAGTCATAGCTTGCAGCAACTTCCCAGTATCCGGGACTATAGGCACCTGCCACAATGCCGGCTCTTTTTTAGAGACAGGGTCTTGCTCTGGCTCAGGCTGGTATCGAACCTATGAGCACAAGCAATCCAACCACCTTGGCCTCCCAGAGTGCTAGGATTACAGGCATGAGCCACGGCACCTGG